CACCAATATTTCAATGTGTTACAAACGGTGTAAAATGTTCCTTGACTCCCTGATGGGTTGTGTCTTCCAAGTGGTGATTTAGCGATCTTGAAAGTGACGGAACTAATAGGGAATCACATTGTTCGCCGGTCTCTGGTAAGATTTTAGGTTGATAGTCATGCTGCATTTAAAGCATTAATATGTCACAGCTGTATTCTTGCGTAGTCGTAGAATGAAGAAAAGATCTAAGTATTATTATGAGACCGTTTACAATAAGGCTGTGTTGGGTACCAGGACCCTGCAATATACACAAATGAGGTATCTGGCGAACTGATACGATGAGGCTCGAATCTTGTCCCATATGAACGGAACAAGAAGTTAAAGCCACCCCTTTTTCATTTTTTAGGTTGATCTCCGGTGGATTCCGTGACTCTTTCAACCAGTCATGGAATATAGAATGAATTGCACATTATATATGGCCGTTTTAAAAATACTTGATTCTAATGAAACCGGGATTATTATTGGGGTAGATGGTGTACACCAAGAACACTTGCACTGGCTATAAAACATTATTAAAATACATACATTTTTCTTAGCACAAAATAAATATGTCTAGTAATTTGTTTTTGTTTCATTTGTTTACGTTTTTACAGAAACTCACCACACAACAATCAAAAACAGCTGTTAGGGTTTGCTGTTTTATCAAAAGGTTGTTTTATTAACGGGTATAGAACCCTACTAAGTAATAAATAAATGAAATGAAATCCTAGAGAAAATGAAAGAAAAATGTATCTTTAAGAAGACACTTTTTTGGGATAAATGTTTGTCACAGAAAACATTTTTTCTATAGAAAAATTTTTGTTAAAGAATACATTTTTTCTGCAGTAAAATGTCTGTTAAGGAATGCTGCTTTTCTATAGAAAAATGTCTGCTGAAGAAGACATCATTTGGGAAAAATTTTAACAAAAGAAGACACTTTTTGTTAACGAAAGATGACACTTTTCTTTAGAAAATTTTTTTAAAAAAAAAAAACTTTTTATTCCAAAATATCTGCGAAAAAAGTTACCAAAATGTCGTCTAAGGAAATATGTAGTATCTCATTTTCTAAATACATACAATCATTACTTTTAGTACCTTCTTAGAAGAATTACAAACCTGTTAACACATCTATCTCTATTATGAAAAAGGAAAGAAAGAAAGAAAACAATTGCAACAAAATTTAAATCTGATCACATCAATTTTTTTAACTGATCCACAGTTTAAAAAAAAAAAAAAAATTGTCCGATATCAAATTGGTATTCACATTTAACGATCAACAGTGAGTATACATGGAGTCAGTCTTACGATCAATTGATAATGCTGATGCCTTTAGATGTTGTAGTTTTTGATTGTTTTTAAAGTACAATCGAAAGTATAATGTATAAACAAGCATGATTTTAATCAGCTCTAAGTGGAAACAACAAAACGACACAATAGTTAAAGCACTACAGCCACCGTATTTTATTTAGAGCCAAACCTTCCACAACAATTCCATCATAATCATCATCGCTACTGATCGTACTCTCATCATTATCGTCATCAATATGATCAATATTATGGCAGACCACTCTGATGATTAGGCAAAATATAAATATAAAACATTGTATAAACATGAATTTTTAAGTGACGCCGCTAGTCTATTCCACAGATATAAATTTGATATGTATTTTTGTATAATGCTCCCACTCTTTGATCGGTGAGCACAAGCATAGGAAACTATAAAATTGTCTACTGTTTAAAATACAAGTGTAAGAAGAACATTATAGAAAAAGTATCGTCTTGAGCAGACATTTCTCTATAGAAAAAGTATCGTCCTGAGCAGACATTTTTCTATAGAAAAAGTATCGTCCTGAGCAGACATTTTTCTATAGAAAAAGTATCGTCCTGAGCAGACATTTTTCTATAGAAAAAGTATCGTCTTAAGCAGACATTTTTCTATAGAAAAAGTATCGTCTTAAGCAGACATTTTTCTATAAAAAAAGTATCGTCTTAAGCAGACATATTTCTAACGGAAAAGTATCGTCCTGAGCAGACATTTTCTATAGAAAAAGTATCGTCTTAAGCAGCCATATTTTTAAGGGAAAAGTATCGTCTTGAGCAGACATTTTTCTATAGAAAAAGTTTCGTCTTGAGCAGACATTTTTCTATAGAAAAAGTTTCGTCTTGAGCAGACATTTTTCTATAGAAAAAGTTTCGTCTTGAGCAGACATTTTTCTATAGAAAAAGTATCGTCTTGAGCAGACATTTTTCTATAGAAAAAGTTTCGTCTTGAGCAGACATTTTTCTATAGAAAAAGTTTCGTCTTGAGCAGACATTTTTCTATAAAAAAGTGTTTTATTGAGCAGACATTTTTCTATAGAAAAAGTATCTTCTTGGGCAGACATTTTTCTATAGAAAAAGTGTCTTCTTGAGCAGACATTTTTCTATAGAAAAAGTGTCTTCTTGAGCAGACATTTTTCTATAGAAAAAGTGTCTTCTTGAGCAGACATTTTTCTATAGAAAAAGTGTCTTCTTGAGCAGACATTTTTCTATAGAAAAAGTGTCTTCTTGAGCAGACATTTTTCTATAGAAAAAGTGTCTTCTTGAGCAGACATTTTTCTATAGAAAAAGTGTCTTCTTGAGCAGACATTTTTCTATAGAAAAAGTGTCTTCTTGAGCAGACATTTTTCTATAGAAAAAGTATCTTCTTGAGCAGACATTTTTCTACAGAAAAAGTGTCTTCTTGAGCAGACATTTTTCTATAGAAAAAGTGTCTTCTTGAGCAGACATTTTTCTATAGAAAAAGTGTCTTCTTGAGCAGACATTTTTCTATAGAAAAAGTGTCTTCTTGAGCAGACATTTTTCTATAGAAAAAGTGTCTTCTTGAGCAGACATTTTTCTATAGAAAAAGTGTCTTCTTGAGCAGACATTTTTCTATAGAAAAAGTGTCTTCTTGAGCAGACATTTTTCTATAGAAAAAGTGTCTTCTTGAGCAGACATTTTTCTATAGGAAAAGTGTCTTCTTGAGCAGACATTTTTCTATAGGAAAAGTGTCTTCTTGAGCAGACATTTTTCTATAGAAAAAGTGTCTTCTTGAGCAGACATTTTTCTATAGAAAAAGTGTCTTCTTGAGCAGACATTTTTCTATAGAAAAAGTGTCTTCTTGAGCAGACATTTTTCTATAGAAAAAGTGTCTTCTTGAGCAGACATTTTTCTATAGAAAAAGTGTCTTCTTGAGCAGACATTTTTCTATAGAAAAAGTATCTTCTTGAGCAGACATTTTTCTATAGAAAAAGTGTCTTCTTGAGCAGACATTTTTCTATAGAAAAAGTGTCTTCTTGAGCAGACATTTTTCTATAGAAAAAGTGTCTTCTTGAGCAGACATTTTTCTATAGAAAAAGTGTCTTCTTGAGCAGACATTTTTCTATAGAAAAAGTGTCTTCTTGAGCAGACATTTTTCTATAGAAAAAGTGTCTTCTTGAGCAGACATTTTTCTATAGAAAAAGTGTCTTCTTGAGCAGACATTTTTCTACAGAAAAAGTGTCTTCTTGAGCAGACATTTTTCGATAGAAAAAGTGTCTTCTTGAGCAGACATTTTTCGATAGAAAAAGTGTCTTCTTGGCAGACATTTTTCGATAGAAAAAGTGTCTTCTTGAGCAGACATTTCTCTATAGAAAAAGTGTCTTCTTGAGCAGACATTTCTCTATAGAAAAAGTGTCTTCTGGAGCAGACATTTTTCTATAGAAAAAGTGTCTTCTTGAGCAGACATTTCTCTATAGAAAAAGTGTCTTCTTGAGCAGACATTTTTCTATAGAAAAAGTGTCTTCTTGAGCAGTCATTTTTCTATAGAAAAAGTGTCTTCTTGAGCAGACATTTTCTATAGAAAAAGTGTCTTCTGGAGCAGACATTTTTCTATAGAAAAAGTGTCTTCTTGAGCAGGCATTTTTCTATAGAAAAAGTGTCTTCTTGAGCAGACATTTTTCTATAGAAAAAGTGTCTTCTTGAGCAGTCATTTTTCTATAGAAAAAGTGTCTTCTTGAGCAGACATTTTCTATAGAAAAAGTGTCTTCTTGAGCAGACATATTTCTATAGAAAAAGTGTCTTCTTGAAAAGACATTTTTCTATAGAAAAAGTGTCTTCTTGAGCAGACATATTTCTATAGAAAAAGTGTCTTCTTGAGCAGACATTTTTCTATAGAAAAAGTGTCTTCTTGAGCAGACATTTTTCTATAGAAAAAGTGTCTTCTTGAGCAGACATTTTTCTATAGAAAAAATGTCTTCTTGAGCAGACATTTTTCTATAGAAAAAGTGTCTTCTTGAGCAGACATTTTTCTATAGAAAAAGTGTCTTCTTGAGCAAATAGTTTTCTATAGAAATTATTATATGGAAAAAGTTTCATTAAGGGCATTGAATTTTTAGTAAAAAATCGATTTCTTTTAATATTCAGAATTTTAGATACTTGTTTGATCTCATATACATACATATATTTCGTCTTGAGCAGACATTTTTCTATAGAAAAAGTTTCGTCTTGAGCAGACATTTTTCTATAGAAAAAGTTTCGTCTTGAGCAGACATTTTTCTATAGAAAAAGTTTCGTCTTGAGCAGACATTTTTCTATAGAAAAAGTTTCGTCTTGAGCAGACATTTTTCTATAGAAAAAGTGTCTTCTTGAGGAGACATTTTTCTATAGAAATAGTGTGTTCTTGAGCAGACATTTTTCTATAGAAAAAGTGTCTTCTTGAGCAGACATTTTTCTATAGAAAAAGTGTCTTCTTGGGCAGACATTTTTCGATAGAAAAAGTGTCTTCTTGGGCAGACATTTTTCTTTAGAAAAAGTGTCTTCTTGAGCAGACATTTTTCTATAGAATAAGTGTCTTCTTGAGCAGACATTTTTCTATAGAAAAAGTGTCTTCTTGAGCAGATAATTTTCTATAGAAAAAGTGTCTTCTTGAGCAAATAGTTTTCTATAGAAATTATTATATGGAAAAAGTTTCATTAAGGGCATTGAATTTTTAGTAAAAAATCGATTTCTTTTAATATTCAGAATTTTAGATACTTGTTTGATCTTATATACATACATATATTTTAATTGTAAATAACAAAACGTATTTATAACTACTTTTCTTAATCTTCCTTCATCATTGGGATTCGTCTTCCCTAACGGATTCTTTTTCCCCTTCTATCCTCAAGCTTTCTTCCTCTTTTTCTTTACCAGTTTCCTTTTCTTCGCCCTCAACCTCTTCTGATCCTAATAATTCATCAATCATTTCTTTTTCGTTCTCGTTTTCTGTCTGTCTGCCATCGTTTCTACTGTGATGCTTTTTCTTATGCAAGCTTAAACCCTTACGTGATATATAAGTATTTTCACATTGATCACACTTAATTATTTCCGATAGAAAGTGTTTCTTTTGATGATTTTTCAAATCGAGAGGTTGTTGAAACGACATTTCGCACAAGTTGCAAGCATAACGAAGTTCTTTTTCAATATCCGATTTTTGTTTATGATGTTTTCTTTTATGCAAATACAAACCATTACGAGATGTGTAGATCGCTTTGCATTCGGTGCATTCAAATGTTTTTGTTAGATAGTGTTTCTCCTCGTGCAGTTTTAAATCGGTCGATTGCTGAAAGGATTTTTCGCAGAACGAACAGGCATAAGGTCTCTCACCAGTATGAACTCTTAAGTGACGTTTTAAATCATCGACACGTATAAAGGTTTTCGTACAATATTCACACTCATTAAACACCACTGCCTCTTTGTGGTTGTTCATATGTCGTGATAAGGACTGTATGTGGGAGAAGAGATTACCACAAACTCGGCATTTATAAGCTTTTGAATTGGGATGCAATGAACGAACGTGATTAACAAGATCTTGTTGGCGTTCAAAAGTCTAAGAAATTTCCAATTAAATCTTAGTAAATAAAAGTTTGAATTTGAAAAATTATAAATATTACATACATTTTGGCATATGGCGCAACTGATTTCAGTTAAAAGAGGACTGGTAACACGTGGCTGTTTGTGTCTATAACCCGACATGGGAGGCGCTTTGCAAACTTTTCTTTTCTTAGGGCAATTAACTATTTTTGGAGGTACAACCACTTCATCCTCCTCGTGCTCACTACTACTTGTACTAGGAGCCTCCAAAAGATCTTTTTCCAGATAATTTTCTTCTTCACTTTTAATATCATCATCTAGCTCATCATCTGCTAAAAATGCTCCTTCTAATTGTGCAACATCTTCGTAATATTCTAAACTTTCCTTATCGTCTACAGTTTTCTCCAAATCTTTCTTTGACTCTTCTTCCTTATCCATTATGTTTGGGTCTGATAAATTTTTTGCAATATCCTCCACATTTTCTATATCGAAAAGTTCTTCGACTTCGAGTAGTATACTATCTTCAGGCAATTCATTTTCATTACAACTGTTTACTTCCTCTGTTATAAATTCGGACACTTCATCCTTGTAACCTTTTAGTTTATGGTCCAATTTTATTAAAATCTTATCAGCTTTATGAACTTGTATACAAAAATAATATAATGCTGTGATTTTACTAAAACATTCCTTACAAACTTTTGTGGGTAGATTTTCGGTAGTACACATCTGTAATTTTAAAGTTCATAAATTTTAGATTTCATTAATTGGTACACCTGCAATTACCTTAATATTAGTGGTCTGTACTAGCATTTCCTTTATGCTCAGAAAACTTCCTTCCATGACATCCATTATTCTCATCTTTTCTAGATCTACATCATCTTCCTTGGAGTCTATCAAACAGGTTCGACATAGTTGCCAATTGTTTATTTCATTTAGATTTAATTCTTCTTTGGTATTTTCTTTAAATTCTAATATATTTTCATAATAGGTTATTTTGCGCATCGCTTTGTTCATTTTAAATGTTATTTAATTTTAAATTTCTATTAAAATTTGCTTAAAAATGTTGCTGTTTTAAATTATTTCCTAAATTTACATTTTTAGTTTGACAGCTAATTTTCTGTTTGTAAACAAATGCTTCTTCTTATCTACTCCGTTCAGTATTGCCATCCATTATATCTTAAAATATGTAAAACAGTGTTACCAGAATTGAGTTTAACCCATTAGAGGTCAAATGAAAACCGGCTTTAAGTTTTTGATTTTAGATTTATTTATTAATAAAAACAAGCATAAAAAATCATAAAATGAAAAAAAATTTTAAAAATTTTTTGTTGAAAGCGAGTTTTAGGGGTGTACTCAAATGAGTACACTGACTTCTTAAGTATAAAATTTTTCGAGACATTATTTTTCGACACAAAGTGTTTTAAAACATTTTTTGCACTACCAACGTACTCTGGCATGGAAAATTACGCACCGCAACTGTTATTCTCTTTTTGTGGGATAGTGCCTAGCTCCATCTTGACGGAAACCTTCAGCTATTGGCATAGACTTCCGTGATTTCTTTTGTCCACCTTGGCGGATATAATAACGTGAAATGTTTCGGGAAACAAAAGTTGATCCATGGGACTCTCACTGCACATTACATGTAGCCTCCAAGCGTTAGAAATTGTCATATCAAAGGCATTTATGTAAATAAAACCCACCACCAATTCTTATCATGAACAGCAATCCTATACAAAGAGATGGATTTATCGAGATCATAAACCCCAGTCATTCTTTTATTGTGGTTTCTTTGCACCAACGCTTAAGGATTCCTAACGTTTCAATTGTGTCATAGTTGGTTCCCATTGTGCAAACACTAACTATTATTTTTCCATCTTACCAACAAAATACAATTTTCTTTATCGAACATGTAGTCATATGCAGCTCGATCCTGTTTCTTCATTTCCTTCCTGGTAGTCAAAGGATACTTTCTAGTTCAGTTTTCCCTGACAGTTCCAGTTGCACGGTATCCTAATTTTTTAAGATCGAGGAGAAGATTTGCAAAAACATCAATTGTCCCAGGAACATCTTGCGGTAGGGCTGATGAAGACATATCATACTCAACACCTTCATCTTCGCTGTTTAGTATACTCGGATTAGGTGGTATGATAGCCATATAAATTTCTTCGTCTTCACTATCAGCTAAAATGCTATCAACGGCCTCTTGAAGCCCTTTGAAACTCTGCTGGACCGTAAAACGTATATCGCTCATATTTTAAATCTAACAAAAGAATTAAATATTCTTACTAATGGATACCGTCATTGTACTCAAACGAGTACAGCCAACTTTATACCTTTCTATTTTTTTTATTTTCTTATTTCTAAGTATTTTTTGAATCCTGTATGTTTCGTTGTTATTATTTTTATAAAAATAATGCATAATTACCAAACAAATTTTAACATTGTTTCAAATATTTACAAAATATTTTACTAAACCACACAATGTATTCGAGTCACAATATAGACTGATAATTCTGCATAATCAACAGAAACTAAGTATAAATTATTTTTCTGCAGCTCTTTTTATTGTTGTTTTGAAACTAAATAAGGGTACAACGTTTGCTGTTTCGTTAGTTTTGCTGGGAAACACGTAAAAATACAACTGTACTCAGTTGAGTACGGTGACTTCTAATGGGTTAACAGAATTTGTTTTGAAATTTGCTATCTGCTATACATTTTATATAAAAAAGAGAATTTATTTAAAAGTTTTCAAAAAAACCCAAAATTTTTATGAAAATAATCTTTAAAAAAATAAGTTGTTTCAAAAAAAAAAAAAAAAAGGGGGGGGGGGGAAAAGCCAGAGCGAGCCCGAGCGAGCGAGCGATCGAGCTCGATCTAGCGACGACGATCGATCTATCTATTAATCTTCATCAGCATCGATCGCATCGAGCTATCTATCGACTAGCAGCGATCTAATCTATCGAGCTATCAGCGAGCGAGCATCAGAGCTAGCTAGCGAGCGAGCCGAGGACGAGGAGCCACAGCTATCTAAGCTAGCAGCTAGCGATCTATCGAGCGAGCTAGCCTAATCATTCATCTATCTAGCTACTATCTATCTATCACTATCTATCAATAATCATCTATCTATTCTATCATCTATCTATATACTTCTATCTATCTATCTATCTATCTATCTATCCTATCTATCTATCTACATCTATCTATCATCTATCTATCTATCTATCTAATCTATCTTCTATCTATCTATCATATCTATCTATCTATCTATCTATCTATCTAGCTATCTATCATCTATCTCTATCTATCTATTTCTATCTATCTATCTAATATCTATCTATCAATCCTTCTGAAAAGAATCGACTTTTTACCGAAAATAAATGTTAATGTTTATAATAATAAATATGTAATTCGTAATTTTTATTTATCTTCTTCAACATCTAAGATATTTCTTATAGCTAGTTAAAATGACATTCTTTCCAAACTCTACCAAACAATCGAGTTCCATATTACACTTTCGTCCTGTTTTCGAGTTAAAACTTTTTAAGAATTTCTATGGCTCTTATGATGATTTACTAAATGACTTTTTCTTCGGAAAGTTTTTTTACAAATAGTACATAAAAACTTGAATTCGCCCTTATGTACCTTCAGGTGCCGATTGAGTGTTTCGTTGCTATCAAAAGATTTCAAACAATATTCACATATTAAATCCATCCTTGAACTATGTGTTTGTTCATGCCTCTGCCAATCGTAACGAGTTTTGAATATTTTACTGCACATGGTACAGGGATAAGAACTTAGCTTGTTTTCATGTATACTCATGTGACGTTTTAGTATCTCGGCTTCAGTAAAACTTTTCGTACAAAGTTCACAATTAAATTTTTGTGGTTGAAATAAAATGCTGTGCATTGATTCTCTGTGACGTTTTAAATGATTCACTTGTTTAAAGGCTGTATCACATACATTGCAAGAATACGGACGTTCATCAGTGTGTATACGTATGTGACGATTCAAATCGGTCTTGCGATCAAAAGACTTAAGACAGTATTTGCAGATATTTGGTTTTTGTATATGTTTCTTTACTTTGATATGCTCAGCTAACAAGTCTAAGCCATAAAAGTTGTCATCACAGTAGGGACATTTAAAAAATTCAATTTCAGGATGATGACGATGTAAATGCCTGGCTACTGCTTGCTGACATTTAAATAATTTCATACAAACTGCACACTCGTGTTGATCAGTCTCGGCTGAAACTGAAACTATGTCTCCAGCAGCATAGTCTTCGTCGCCATTATCTGTATTACAGTAATCTGCTGCTGTAAATTCTTCATCCTGCTCATTATCGGTATTAAATTCATCTATAATGAAATAGGTGTTATTATGAAGGTTGCTGCTATTATCATATTCCATTACTGTGGCAGCGTGATCATCATCATCGATAGTAATAATCTCCGTGGGTGGTTCATTATTTTTCTGATGAGTTTTTTGATTGTTCTTATTATCTTTATGTTGGTATTGTCTTTTATTATGAAAATTGTTGCCTTCCTGCTCATTGTCATTTTCCTCAGTTTCTTCATCGTTTTCGTAATACTCATCCTCTGCAAACATACTATGTTCATTATTCTTATAATACTCATATTTATCATCTTCATCATTCTCATAATACTCATCGTCGCCTGTTAAAATATTATCTCCTTCTTCATTTTCACAGTTATCATCGTTGTTATCAGTATGCATAGAACTCAACTCATTGTTATATTCACTATGTGTTCTTCGATGACGTTCCAAGTGAAACTGGACAAAAAAGGTCTTGTTACAAAATTCACAAGATATGGTTTTGGCCAAATGTGCATGACGTCTTTTAAAGTGTGAGGATAGAGATTTTAATTTAGAGAATAATGTGGGACATTGACGACATTTAAAGGCTTTATCGTTAGGATGAAATTGTTCTGCATGTCGGATTAGGTCTTTTTGTTGTGAAAAATCCTGCAAGTAAGTTTTAATTACTGAACTAAATTGTTTTGTTTTATCTTGCATATATATCTTACCTTGGGGCAAACGTAGCATTTATTTTCTATAGGATAAACTTTACGTGAATATTCTCTGCTATTAGAATATTTTGTTGAAATAGTTCTACTACCATTATCTTTATCATGCTCAATCAGCAAGTCATTACTATCGTCATAAATTTCATCTTCATCCACGGAATAATCAGCATTTACCAGAAAGTCTGTTTCTTTTTCATGAGATTCATCATCCATTAATTCTTCCTCAACATTACCATAATCATCTTCCTCTGTTAAAATATTCTCTTCTTCTTCTTCGTCATTCTCACAATACTCATCTAAAGGATTATTTAAAGAATTCACATTATTCGAGTGAGTTCTTAGGTGTACATCCAAATTCCTTTTATATTTGTATGATTTATCACACAGATCACAATGAAATGGTCGTTGCTCGGTATGTGAGCGCAAGTGACGCTCCAAAAGGAACTTGGTGAAAAATGACATGTTACAATACTCACAAAAAATGGTCTTTGTTGTTTTGGAATGACTTCTTTTGTAATGCGTTGTCACCGACTTAAGTTTTGAAAATACCGTGGGACAATATAGACATTTAAATGTTTTCTCATTGGGATGAGCTTGTTGACAATGCTGCACAAGCATTTTTTGAAGTGAAAATGTCTGCAAAATAAACCATTATAAATTTTGTTTTAAACTATTAAAACAAACGAAATACATACCTTATTACAAATAGCACATTTCTTTTGTATGGGATAAATTTTTCCCTTACGATTTTCATAGATATCATCATCTGCTCCCACAATATTACTGTTACTATTATCTTTACTAGTTTGCAAATCATTATTATATTCAGTATGTGTTCGTCGGTGACGTTCCAACTGAAACTGGGCAAAAAATGACTTGTAACAATACTCACAAGAAATGGTATTGGCTAAGTTGGCATGACATCTTTTAAAATGGGTAGATAGAGATTTTAATTTTGAGAATAATGTTGGACAGTGACGACATTTAAAGGCTTTATCATTAGGATGAAATTGTTGGGCATGCTTGACCAAATCCCTTTGTTGTGAAAAATGCTGCAAGTAAGTTTTATTTTTTAAACTGAATCCTCTTTTTTTTCCTATCATAGGTTTCTTACCTTAGAACAAACGTTACATTTACTTTCTATTGGAAATACTTTACGTGTATAACCTCTGTTGTTATAATAAGTTGTTTCCGTAGTAGTTTTTCCACTATCTTTGTTATGCCCATTAAACATGTCGTTACTATCCCCATAAATTTCATCTTCATCCAGGGAATTCTCAGCATTTACCAGAAAGTCTGTCTCTTTTCCATTACTATTATCGTCTGTTAATTCTTGCTTAAATTCTAAAGCCGTTATAGTTTCCTTATTAACTTCATTATGTCCACTACGTTTATTATTTTGTTTATTTTTAGCGGCTGTATTAATTTTATTCGATTTTAATTTGTGTGCCATATTTTTTATGCAATTTATATAAATATTTTCTTTATTTTCTGTTCATATGTATGTATACAATATAAATTCTTATTTGTTTGTTTGGTGGTGCTACCACAACAATACATACACACAAACAATTTCGTTGATGAAAAAATATATATGTAAACAATATTGACATTTTCGATTCAGCTGACTTTTAGGTCAGACATTCACTGTGTTATCAGTTCATTCAAATTACGTTCCAAAAACATTTATTTTCATTTTTTTTTTTACAAAACAAAATATAATTTGAGAAATAAATTTAACAAAATAAGACAAATTAAGGAAGTTATTGTGTAAATCCCTTCCCCTCACTTCACTTAATTTATCATATAATTTTTTTTTTGTATTTTCAAAGATTTATATGAAAATATGTATATATGTGGGTAAATTAAAAAATATGGAAAAATTAAAATAATTAATAAATATCAAAATAAATATGAGCTAAAAACATAAAATAGGCTCAGTAATATGTTTAGTTTTTTTTTAATGGAATTTAAAAACCTGTTTATGAAAACCTTTTGTATAAAAAATAACGAAATGGTTTCTTTAATATTTTTTGAGCAAAAAAGTCTTGCATCTAGACATTGCAGCAATAATAGGTAATCTTAGTTATATTACTTATTTTAAAGCAAATATTGAGGAAAAGACCATTGAAATAAATATTAAAAAATATATCTAACGGAAAATTTTGTTATCATTTCCTAATGAATAACTGACAAAATCTATATACAATTACTCGCGGTTGGCAACGCTAACTTCACATGTCATTATAAATGTCAAAGAGTGAATAAAAAAAATTTCATCCACTGTATTTTATTCGGCTGCTCTTGTATATTTTCATATTTTTAGGTAAGTTAATTAAATAAAAATTAAAGTAAACTTTATAAAAAATAATTGAAAAACTGTAAAAATTATGTATTTTAATATAATAAATATAAATAACGTTTTTATAACAACAAATACGACATAAAATATAAAGCACCACAAGCAAATGTCTGCTGCCAATTGATACTTATGTAATTAAAAGATGGGCCAACTACTAAAGGAATTTTAAGGAATCTTATTGGATTATTAATTATATGTGATTTCTATATTTGCAGAGCAATATGATTCGTGCACCGCTTGTTAAGGCCTTGGGCACACTGGGCTCGCCCACTCATAAAATCGCCAGTAAAGCGGTGCGTACCAGTGCCGCTCTTGCCCAGACACCAGCCAAAGCTCCCGAAAAGATTGAAGTGTTTGTCGATGACATTCCCGTTAAAGTAGCACCCGGCACTACAGTATTACAGGTGAGTTTAAATAATGAAAAATGTATTATATACGGATTTTATTGATTTTTCCACTGGTGAAATTATTTAGGCAGCCGCAATGATTGGTGTAGAGATTCCACGTTTCTGCTATCATGAACGTTTGGCTGTTGCTGGTAATTGTCGTATGTGTTTGGTTGAGGTAGAAAAAAGTCCCAAACCTGTGGCCGCCTGTGCTATGCCAGTCATGAAGGGATGGCGCATCAAGACAAATTCCGAAATGACCCGCAAAGCTCGCGAAGGCGTTATGGAATTCTTACTTATGAACCATCCCTTGGATTGTCCCATTTGTGATCAAGGTGGTGAATGCGATTTGCAAGATCAAGCTATGGCTTTCGGTTCAGATCGTTCACGTTTCACAGATATCAACCATACCGGCAAACGGTAATTTATTTGCACTTAGAATTGTATTAGTACATTAATGTGGCATCATTTTCTTTATAGCGCTGTTGAAGATAAAGATATTGGTCCTTTGGTCAAAACTATCATGACCCGTTGCATTCACTGCACACGTTGTGTTCGTTTCGCTTCGGAAATTGCCGGTGTTGATGATTTGGGTACTACCGGTCGTGGTAATGATATGCAAATTGGCACCTATGTAGAGAAACTATTTTTAACTGAACTGTCCGGCAACGTTATTGATTTGTGTCCAGTCGGTGCTTTGACTAACAAACCATACAGGTAAGTTATAATTTTTTACTTTTGTTTGAGGTTAGATGTATATAATATATAGTATTACTGTATTTGAAATTGAGGGCACAATCAATAGATGCCAAGTTAAAATAACATTGCAAATTTAAGAAATTATGAAAGTATTGCCGTTATAGGAAAACGAATGGCCTAATAATTTTGGTTATATCCCTAATGCACATGAGGTACCTATATGTTTGTCTTTAATAATGAAAAATCAAATGATAAATCGTAGAAAAATTAATCAAAAAATACTCGTGTTTTTGTAGTATGTATATATTATATAAATTTGTTTATCATTTGTATTTATTCTATGTATCGCCTATATGTGGCAAGAATGGCATAACCATAAGTGTTGCTTTCTTATGCGGTATTCACTAAAATACCGTAATAGAATTTTGAACACAAATTTTCGTAATTAGAAAGGGTAATTACGTCTTTATCGCGAATACATAGGGAATAATTGTTTTATCGCATCATAGTTGGGAGAGATTTGCATCTCAGAGTTACAGAAAGATAAATAATATTCAACTGGTATAGATTGTCATTGAAAAATTTTCATAGTTATATATTTTTAATATAATTTGCATTTTTTATTTTAAATACCCTTTCGTATTTTCCACAATGTAATGTTAAATAGTAAAAGGGAAGGGGAATTCTGATTTTGACAGTAGAGAAAAAATCTTTCATGCATCCGTTTTAAAGTCAATTTAATATAGACTATAACATTCGAAGTCAAAAAGTTAGTTTGGAGTTTTAAAGATAAAATTGTTTTGTATTTATATATCGTCACCTAAAACGCAAACGCTTACAACTTTGTCCTATGTACATTAGAGATGTCCAAAAATATAGATTTTGCTCAGATAGGTGATATTGTGTTCAAAACTAACTTGTGCAAAACTTTAGCCAAATCGGAAAAGAACCCTTGCCGAAAATCGGTTGAAAAGAGTAAAATTGGGTAAATAATAGGACTATTTTAAATTATTTTAAAAATGTGCATTAAAATTATAGTTTATTAAAATTTCAACCAAATCTTATCTTCTAAAGGAAATTTCCAACAAGGTATAAAATATTAATATTAAGCGACAAATAACTAAGTTCTAAGCATTTTCTTTTTACAAATATGTTACAAAAACGACTAAATAATTCTTAATTTACTTGTTTTATGTGTAGATATTTTTGTTTACATATTTCTGCATGCAAAACGAAGACCAAACAATGCAAAAAATGCATGATTTTTGTAATAAATGACTTGGCAAATTGTCAATAACTTTTTTGATTGTCCTTTGATATAAATGTTTTATACCTCGTTAGATAGATAATTTTCTCTGGATGATAAGGTTTGATCGAAATGTTAAGAAAAGTTAATTTGAATGGCACAATTTTTGAAGATACCAAAAAAAAACTCCTATTATTTACCCAATTGTACACTTTTCTATCGATTTCCGACACGGGTTTTCGTTATCCGATTTGACTAAAATTTAACATCAGTAAGTTTTAGACACTAATAAACAAAATAAGACCCATCTGTGCAAAATCTATATATTTTGGACACTTCTGAACTTTATTTTTGCATTGGCTTGTCACACGATACATTCGCGCCTGGTTGTAGACTGTAGAAATACCCTTAGTGACTATATATGACTGCCATTATATTGTGTTGATTGCCGGGGCACTGTAATATGCATGGTAATGAGGTTGCCGACGAACTGGCTAGATTAGGTTTGATATACATAGATGACAGAGAAAGGATGGCAAACCCATCAATTTGTCACTATTATAGGCTGATATTCGAAAGAAGGCGTGACATCTAAATCAGTCCTGAATAGTAGATTGGATTGTAAAGTATCAAAGGCCCTATGGCCTTGATATAAGGGCTACCAAAATACTTATAGAACTGGATGCGGCATTGTCGGATAGAGCTTTTGTCAGTAAATAGGACAGCAGGTTATGCGAAGATGAGTAGGAAATAGAGTCGATTGTGCATATAATTTGCTACTGTCCTAGGATACAGAATCTCAGGTTGAAGTGGCTAGGGAATAGGTTCCATGTCGAAACGGGGGATATTGCGGGTCTTGAACCTCGCAGTCTACTTCTTTGGGCTTTATAGGGGGACAAAGATTTTCTCTCTTATCTCCTTACTCTTTAGGGAACTGACTTAAATAAATATCTATCCTTTTTAACTATCTTATGGTCTCCAAGTGGATATACATTTCTTTATGGTGCCTAAACCTTCTAAACCTATAAGTTTAAGACATTACAATTTAAAAACACAAACACATGTTATGTAAAAGAACTCAGTTTTTCAAAAAAGCTCGCAAAATTTTAAATTTGAAAAATTAAAGAATATTTAAAATTCAAATCCGGGTGTTATGAGTTAATTATTACAAAGTGTTCACGGTGTTCATTTCATTCAGATAGATTTATCTGCTTTTACATTCGTGAAAAGAGTATGTATATATAAGATTGTCATTCAGTTTTTTAAAATTTTCAAATAGTCCCTTATATAGTATATTCCGAATCTTTGTAGAATTCCATATCCTTCTTTCAGTGTGTTTGTTGAAAATAAGTTCTGAAGATCCCAGATAGGTCTTCAGGTTAGGATATTAAATAAATTAAGGTTGCTAAATAATGGTCAGATTATAATAAGTATTCAAAAAAAAAAAAAAGAAATCATAAGGCGACTATCACACGTGAATATCTAGCGATTTCACAGTCGTGCGATTTCCATGATATGAATGTAATCTTGCCTTATAAGCACCTGGAATAGTCAGGGTTGGCTTTTTCTATTAGACCGTTAGAGACTCTACCGTGGTATGCTAGAAAAGATCTATACAAAAGAAATACATATAATGGAATTTCCTAATAGGGACAATTGGCTTGTATCCGATAGACAGTTTGGGTGTGCAGGACCGACGTGTCCAAGATGGATACCGATGTCTATATCGCAGATGCAGATATACAAATTAACCTTTAGACTCCCTAGCTATATGGCAAGCAACAGAATCATATCGATCAATTTATGTCGATAGTCAAGATGCTCTGAGAGCATTGGCATGTCATACGGTACACTCGTAGATTGTTGAAATGCTCTTGAGGACATTATAAAATTATTTACTATTAGAATTCGTAACATCATCAACCAGTTCTGCAATACCAGAATGAATTGCATGCAATATATCAAGGGCCAACACTTGATGTGAGAGTTACCAAGATACTCATAGGACTGGTTAGGGCCAGCCTAAGGATTCTGACAGGGATCTTAACGGGGCATTGTTCAATCAGAGCCTTTGTCACTAAGTGAAACTGTAATGTACTGGACTATTGCAGGTTATGCGAAGATGCATAAATTACAGGACTCAGCAGTCGCAGTCTACTAGGTTTTATAAGGGAAATTACTAAGGAATGGGCCAGTTTCAATTCTTATTTTGAAACTGGCCAGCTTAAGATTTCTTTTGAGCAAAAAAAGCAAAAGAGCTGAAAATTTGTATCTGACCCGCTATCCAATCGTAATAACCTTGAATACAGATTTCTTACCTTGAGAAATTGAAAAGTTTTAATAAACCAAACAAAAATCTCACATAATATATTTGTGTAGCTAATTTTGTCCAATATTTTGTAAAGGGTAAAAAACGGTGACGACAATACCTTCATTATTAAAGTTTTTATTTAATCAACCCAAATCTTTAAAGAAAACATTTTTTTATTTAATCAACACAAATCTTTAAAGCTAAAATTTCAACGTCTTATTTTTTATTTCAGCTTTGTTGCCCGTCCTTGGGAAATCCGTAAAATCAGCAGCATTGATGTTTTAGATGCCGTCGGCAGTAATATTGTCGTTAGCACTCGCACTAATGAAGTATTGCGTATTTTACCACGTGAAAATGAAGAAGTCAATGAGGAATGGTTAGCTGATAAGTCACGTTTCGCTTGTGATGGTTTGAAACGTCAACGTTTGGTAGCTCCAATGGTACGCATGCCAAACGGTGAATTGCAAGCTGTTGAATGGGAGGGTGCTCTTATTTCTGTGGCTAAAGCTTTGAAGAATGCTAAGGGTTCCGTAGCTGCTGTGTCCGGACAATTGGCTGATGTTGAATCAATGGTGGCTCTTAAGGATTTACTCAACCGCAATGGCGCTGAAGTTTTGTGCACTGAACAAGGTTTTGCCACCAATGGTGCCAGTACTGATTTACGTTCCAACTATGTCTGCAACAGTTCAATTGCTGGTAAGAGGTTTTCTAATGTATTTCTCTGTTCAAGTACTTACATAATTTTGTTGTTGTAAAGCATTGGAAGAAGCTGATGCTGTTTTGTTGATTGGCACAAATCCCCGTTATGAAGCTCCTTTGCTTAATACACGTCTACGTAAGGCTTATGTACACAATGAATTGGAAATAGCTTCCATTGGCCCCAAAGTAGATCTTTCTTATAAACACGACAACTTGGGTGAAGATGCTGGTCTAATTACCCGTGTCTGCACAGGCTCTCATGCTTTCTCCAAGGTTTTGGAGGGTGCCAAAAAACCCGCCATCATTGTTGGTGCTGATGTTTTGGAACGTGCTGATGGTTCAGGCATCTTGGCTACCGTTTCTGCTTACTGCAAGAAATTGAACAAACCTGTAAGTATTTTTTAGTGTTTTTATTGTCGTGCCTAATGACAAATGTAATGAATTTGAAATGCAATTTTAAGAACTGGAACGCTTTGAATGTTTTGCAAACAAATGCCGCCCAAACTGGCGCCTATGATGTGGGTTACCAACCCGGTCTCCAAGCCGCCATTAAAGCCAAACCTAAAGTTTTGTTCTTATTGGGTGCTGATGCTGGCAAAGTTAGCCGCGATCAATTGCCTCAAGATTGTTTCATTGTTTACATTGGCCATCATGGTGACAATGGTGCATCAATTGCTGATGCTGTTTTACCTGGTGCCGCATACACCGAAAAGCAAGCAACTTATGTTAATACCGAAGGTCGTGCCCAACAAACCTTGACTGCTGTATCACCACCCGGTATGGCTCGTGAAGACTGGAAGATTTTGCGTGCGCTTTCTGAAGTAGCTGGTAAGTAATGTTTATTTTTTTATCATAGTATATTGCTATAATAACAATAATTAATCATTATTCGAAAATATTAATTTGAAAACCTGTAATGAAACGAAAGAGTTTTTATAACATTTTTAAAAAATTAATATTATAGATCCTTGAGAAATTGGAAGCACTGTTGTCGAAGCGCTAGAATTTGATTATATTTCCAGCATTGTCCAATTTGGATCTGCGATGCTGAGTAATTATGTTACTGACACATTGCAGATAATATGTTCTAAAGTAAAAACCTTATTTTGTCTGCAAATTAAAAGAAATATAATCATTTTGATTACATTAGCTTGGCAAGCAACAGATCTTCTAATATCTCAATTCTATTTATCCTTTCCTATCAATCCTACTATTCTATCTGTCCTATGTATCTAGGATAGATAGAATACATGGAATAGATATGGTAGTAGTATAGTGGGATAGTTAAGATAGATTAGATAGGATAGATAGGATTGATACGAAAGAATAAATGGAATTGATAAGATAAATAAGATAGATTTGTTAGTACGATAGTTGAATATATAGGATGGTAGTATAGATATGATAGACTGGATATTAGGATAGATAGTATAGTAGGATAGATAGGATAGGTACGACAGGAGCATAGATTGAATAGTTGGATAAATAGGATGATAGTATAGATATGATAGATTGGTTAGTAGGATATATTGGATAGATAGGATAGGTATGACAGTTGGATAGATTGAATGGTTGGATATATAGGACAGTAGGATAGTGGGATAGATAGGCCAGTAGAATAGATAGGATGGTATAATAGTTTGGATAGTAGGATAGTACGATAGATAGGATAGATATAGGGTAGTGGGATAGGTTGGATAGATAGGACAGTAGGATGGATAGGATAGATAGGATGGATAGGATAGTAGGATAGATAGGGAATATAGAATAGTGGGATAAATTGGGTGGATAGTATAATAGGACAGATAGGATAGTAATATAGATAGGACAGCAGGATAGTAGTATAGACAGAATGGTAGGATAGTTGGGATAATAGGATTGATTAGATAGTAGGATGGACAGGATGGTAGAATAGATAGAATAAATAGGATAGATAGGACAGAAGGATATTAGGATAGATAGGAAAGTATGATATATAGGATAAATAGGACAGTAGGATAGTAGACTAGATTGGACAGATAGGATAGTAGGATAGATAGAATGGATATTATAGTAGGATAAATTGGATAGATAGAATAGTAAGATAAATAGGATAGTAGGATAGATAGGATAGCATGATAGAAAGGACTGTAGGATATTTTGGATATATTGGATAGTAGGATAGATAGAATAGATAGGAGTGTAGGATAAATAGGATGGTAGTATAGAGGGGTAATAGGATAGGATAGATTGTAGGATAGATAGGACAGTAGATTGACAGGATGGTGGGATAGATAGGATGGTAGGACAGATAGGACAGTAGGATAGATAGGACGGTAGGATAGATAGGACGGTAGGATAGATAGGATAAATTGGATATATAGAATAGTACGATAAATAGGATAGATTGTATATATAGGATAGTAGGATATATATAGGGTAGACAGGATAGTAGTATAGATTGGATAGATAGGATAGTATAATAGATAGGATAGTATGATAGATAGGACAGTAGGATATATTGGATAGATAGGATAGTAGTATAGATTGGATAGTAGGAAAGATAGGATAGTAGGATAAATACTATCCTATGTATCCTACTATCCAATCTATACCTAGTAGGATAATAGGATAGGTAGGATAGATAGAATAGTAGGATAGATAGGACAGTAGGATAGATAGTTGAATAGATAATTAAAGCGATATATAGGATAATAGAATATATAGACTAGTTGGATAGGCCAGTAAGATAGATAGGTAGGACAGTAGGATGGTGGGATAGTAGGATAGATAGAACAGTAGGATAGTTTGGATACATAGGTAGAAAGGATAGTAGTATTCATTGGGTAGATAGTAGAATAGATAGGACGGTAGGATAGATATGATAGATAGGATTGGAAAGTAGGATAGATTGGATAGACTGTATAGTGGGATAGACTGGATAGTAGGATAGATAGGTTAGATTAAATAGTAGGATAGATGGGAAAAGGGTATTGATAGGGCATTAGAATAGATGGAATGGTAGGATAGATAGGATAGCAGAATAGATAGGATAGTAGCATAGATAGGATTGTAGGATAGATAGGATGGTAGGATAGTAGGTATAGTAGGATAGATGGAATAGTAGGACAGATAGGATAGTAGCATAGATATAATAGATAGTATAGTAGGATAAAAATGATATATAGGATAGATATGATAGGTATAATAGTAGGCTAGATAGAATGGTAGGACTGTTAGGATAACAAGATTAATTGGTTAGTAGGATAGATAGGATGGTAGGACTGATAGGATAGTAGGATTTGATAGAATAAATAGGATAGATAGGATGGTAGGATAGATAGGATAATAGGATAGATAGGATAGGTAGGATAGATAAGATAGTAGGATACTAGGATAGTAAGATACCAGGATAGCTAAAATAGTAGGATAAACAGGATAGTAGGATAGATGGACGGTAGTATAGAAAGGATAGTAGGATATATAGGATGGTATGATAGATTGGATAGATTGCAGGATAGTAGGATAGCTATATATCCTATCTATCCTATATCAATCGTACCATCCTATCTATTCAATCCCATTTACTGTCCTATCTATCCTACTTTCTTATCTGTTCTATATATCCTATCCATCCAATCTATCCTAGATAGATAGATAGATAGATAGATAGATAGATATATATGGATTGATAGATGGATTGATAGATAGATAGATAGATAGATAGATAGATAGATAGATAGATAGATAGATAGATAGATAGATAGATAGATAGATAGATAGATAGATAGATAGACAGATATAGATAGATAGATAGATAGATAGATAGATAGATAGATAGATAGATAGATAGATAGATAGATAGATAGATAGATAGATAGATAGATAGATAGATAGATAGA